ACACACACACACGCACACACACATACACACACAAACAAACACACACAAACACTCACACATACACACAAGCACATACATACCTAAACACACACACACACACACACACACACACAATCACACACACACATACACACACAAACAAACGATGCACATACACACAAGCACACACATACACAAATAAACACACACAAACACTTACACACACACACATACACACAAGCACACACATACGCAAATAAACACACACAAACATTTACACACACACGCACGCACACACACACACACACACACACACACACACACACACACACACACACAAAAAAAAACCGCTTGCAGGATGACACAAGAATCCGCTGCCTGGTATTGTCCTACATTTTACCCCGCTTGGAGCGCGAAGGTCTAGGCGTGCTGGTCGGAGAGCGGGATTTTGAGGCTGGCCACGAGCTGACCCTCATCTGTCGCGTGCTGGTGGACAGCCGAAAGGTGCTGGTGCTCATGTCCAGGGACCTGTTCCAAGACAGTCTCCGGGAGTTCGAGGTCAACATGGCCATCATCCATGAGGTCAAGAACAGACGCCGATTTCTTGTTCCCGTGTTTGTCGACCGGGTAAGTCGCTTCATCATCCAGTGCCAGATCTGTGACAGACATAGGCGATCATGGTTCTCCATTCATTCCTTTGCTGGGATGCTCTAAAAAAAACTATTTAAAAAACTACATTTCCCTGATTTTTTCCCCGTTGCCCATTTGTTCAGGTTCCCAGAGTAGGTCGATGTATGTATAATTTACTCCATCTTTCTTTTACGCTTTGATTCTTTTAAATATTCTTTCATTAATTTTATTTATTATTCCATAATTTATTCCTTTAATCAGGTAATTCGTTTATTTATTTCTTTATTCTTTCTCTCTTTTACACTTTGATTCTTTCAAACATTTACTTATCAGTTTATTTCTCCATAATCAATTTTATTCATTTAATCTCACCACGGTGTCAAACATTTTGCTACGGTTCCAGGTAGAGGAGATTATTCAAAACTGTCCTCGAGAAATTCACGCTTTCCTGGACTCACAGCACGAGAGATGTCTGCTCTACAGTGAGAACCAGCGGTTCTGGGAGAGGTTACTCGATGACGTAAGACACTGAGGTTGTCCACACCGGTACCGTACATGTCGGACAAAATAGGGACAGGTCCGGGCGCGTTAACAGCAACCCAGAGCTGCAGCCACAGCGATGACAATAACAAGAACAGCAGCGGTGACAACAGCAGTGAAAACAACAGCAGTGACAACAGCAGCAGTGACTTTTCCACGGACGGCTATCCTTTAAGTTTGTTTGATTTTTCTTTTTAAATATGTAGAGGTTTTGCACTTCTGTTATTCAATATTAACGGCTGCTTGCAGTGACATATTATGTGTTTACACGAGGTTGTTTCCTCGTATTTTCTTGTAATACTTATTTATACCTCTACCTTTTCCTCCTCTTTTGCCTTTGAGCGTCGATGGGAGGTGCAGTTTTCTATGGTAGGCCAACTCTACAAAGCTTTTTCAGTTAAGATGTTGTAGTTCCTCAGGATTCTCTTGAGCCTGAATGCTTGGATTTACAGACTCTCGAGGCTGGCTGACCAGGTGACTTTCCCGACAGGTGGCCATAACATTTCATTCTTTGCTTTCCCTGTGAACTACAGACAGGACTCCGTACCAGCAGCAGCTCGTATTTCCCTTGAATATTCTATAAATAACGCGACTGGTATAATTATCTTTGCTTTTTTGCCATTGTAACAAAAGTGTTATTGTTTTAGTTTTCGTAAGAGTTTTACCGCATTTGCAACACAATAAGGTCATATATAGGTGCCGAAGAGTAGATGTGTTACATGTGAGTAACATATACAAAAAAGAAGGAGAGATAAGGACGGACGGTAGATGTTTGATAGGAAAGATCCTGCTCTACTATAAAATTTTAAAAAAAGAAGGAGCAAACCACACCAGAGCACCCACCTACCACCTACAAAGTGTTACTGTGATGACGGTGACAATAATGAAGGGTTAATGGTGTGTGTGAAACTTAACATATGATTTATATTTTTCGTTTTGTTTGTTTGTTTGTTGTTGTTTTTTTTGTTTGGTTGGTTGGTTGATTTTTGTCCGTGTGGTGTCAGAAATCTGAGTCTAAACTCGTTGAACTTCTGCATGAACAGCTGAAATTTTCCAAGACGGTCATCCATGTTTGAGGAGACAAGTGGTTTCTTTGACTGATGGACGTATTGGGTAGTGTCATCATAAATAATATTATTAGTAAAAACCCAGGGTGGAGTGGGAAGTTAGTGGTTCTTTGTACAAGTGATGTCTTGGACAGGTGGACGTCTTGGGCAGTATAATTACAGTAAAATGATAAAATGCACATGTGCGGGGGGAGGGGGAGTGGCTGTTTGTACAGATCTTGGACAGGTGGCTATAAGAGCAGGTTCATCATCACCATCAGCATTGTTGTGTAGTGTGCGAAAAAACAGAAAGTGGAAGGAAGGGATAAGTAGATAAAGAAATCCAATATTTCATCTGTATAATAATAGTCTCAATAATCTCCTGGATTTGAAGTAAATAAAGATTTTTGCTTTAATAAGATTTGTTATTGTGTTTTTATTTGTTACAATTATCTAGAAGATACTCTTACTGAGACTAACTGCAGAGGAACTTTGGGACTAACATTGAGTAACATTTGAAACCACTTGAGGAAAATAGTGAGTGGGTGAGTATTAGTACATATTAACTAAATAAATTATGTCTGAATTTGGTACGAAAGTTCACTGACTGATACGTATGTCTCCAAGCTACTTTCCGCTATATAGACCGCTCTGAAAAAGAAATATTAAACTCTAAGTCATTCATTAAGTATAAGATTATCAGTTTCTCGTATATAAACTCTAGGTTATACATTAATTATAAAATTATCAGTATCTCCTATGTGTATGGCTATTTTCGTCGAAACAGACGGTCAATTTAGTTGTCTTCATGTAGCTTCTTTCATGGCTAATTCATCCTATGTTTGAAGCACACATTTTGTCGCAGTGCTTGCATGTCAATGTCAGTGGTGTGGATCGAAGCTCTGTATTTCCGCTGTTTTCCTTTCGTCGTTGGCGCTTCTCAGGAGGGGGCAAAGTATGTGCAAGGGGTTGGGGCAGAAAGTGGGGACGAAAGCAGACGACAGAACAAAATTAGTGAGAACGGAAGGAGGTGTTGAAATATTTTTTTAGAGATGAAATGTTTTCTACGCTGTCAGGATTCGAGCCCGGGACCTATTGAATGAGGGGCGAACACCATAACCTCTAGACCGCGAGAGCCGCCTTAGAGGGTTTGTAAACCAGAGGCAGCCAGGGGAAATGGAAAATGAAGACAGTCAAACCATGACATTGGCACTGGCCCAACATACATTTAGTGCTATGTTTGTGGAAAATTCTTCTGAAAAAATAAATGGGCTTGAAGGTCACAAATGAAGTCATAAGACGGTTTAATCAAAGTTTAACCAACAACTTACAATAATATTATGCTCAGGCAGATAAGTGCACCACTTTAGGAAAAGGAAAAGCGCCGCTATCTGCTGCGAGTTGTGGCGTTTGTGGTCATTACAAGTTGTTTGTTGTTGTTTCTTTTACTCCTCTTTAAAACGCAAGCTCTTCGCGTAAGAAACTGGCGTATGTGGTGTAACAGTGTGGGGGGTACAACATCGCAGCGCATAGACAGAGATACTTGATAAAAATTATCCTTACTCGGGATTGAGGATACGTCTCCTTCGTACGACAGGGAAGCGCCTGACCGCTACACCACAAATGTCAGTAGTCTGTCGACTTACCACGTCAACGTTAACACAACTTTTAAGAACAAAGTCGAAGACCTAACTGTATGTCCCAACCGATTATCTTTCTAGTGATAATTAATATTAATAATACTTCCAGTTCTTTCATCTCCCGGGACACCTTCATCAAATAGACCTGCTGATTGAATCTTCAACACATTTTCTAATTTGCATGTCCGGGCTAGGGGTAAGATAATCTTCATCTCCAATTTGCAACAGGTTTTCCTCCACTATTTGAGCATGCTTGCGATTGCCGTGTCAACGCAACACGAGTTGTGTCTATTTATAGAGAAACACTCTTGTCCATAAATTATGTGCATAACCCCAGAAGATAATAGATGTGTAAATCAAGCACCCTGGGTGGCAGACGTTTACCTCTGTGCCATCCATAGACCGCTTATAATTACTTCTTTTCTGTGGTACAAATGATATTGCGACGACAGATTAACAGAGACAAATGGAGCACTTGATGCTCAAAGTTTAAAAGATTATTTAATTTTGACAGTCGTTCTTCCAGGTTGAGTATCGTTCAGATGAGGAATTGTAAAAATAAGATCTATTACCGCTTTAAGGACAGATAAGTTTGCAGAGTGGATGAGGCCTCCATTGGTGCCCGCTCATTGACGCTCGCGATACTTTAGAATTTGTCATGTCCTGACATCTGCCATTTACCAGCATGTTGTAACTGATCAATGGTACTTAGTTTTGTTTGACAATCTTCAAGTTCGCATACAGTGGGGCGCGGGGGCATGAACATGAGTGCTTATTCCACAAAAATGTGCGCAAAAATCACCTACGTTTAACTATAAGACGGGGAAAGCGTAATGCGAAATAAATGAAATACAGTGTCATTTCTTCCAGATATGTTTATGTCATTCTTCTCTGGCAACAGACAGAAGGGAAAAAAACCTGAGCAGTTTTAAGAATTACTTCTGTTTCAAAGTGTGGGTTATCGAGTACACGCCCAATGAGCCGAAAGTTGTTGTCAGTTTGATAGTGCACTTTCACGCAAAAACAAATATTTATTAGAATTTTCTCAAAATTACTTTCTACAAGTAGCGCAAACAGGATGATATAGGCATGAAACAGTAATACTATCAGAACTCAGTGGGTGAGTCAGTCCTGTGGCGTTAAGAAATGCAAGGGGAACACGTCATCCTCTTTGGGTTTGACTTTTGATTGTTTAAAAGACTTTGTCCCCATGTATTGTTAGATGATTCAACCATTCTGATTTACAATTTAAAACCAAGCAGTGCTGAGAACTAAGGTGAAAATAGCCAACTTGTGCACGCACCAACCATTCAGTATACTCACGCTCGCTTAAGTTTATTTAGATTTGAGATACATGTACTGTCAGTGTTTTGAATTCGGTTTGTAACTCGGCAGAGAGAGAAATCGGCTTCTTTTCTTTGGTCTCTGAGAGACGTGGAGAGAGCAAACAGCAGCGGTTATGAGAAAAATTATTATAATGCAGCTCTGTGGTGAAGAAAACATGATAGACGTTACCACCAGTCTATTAAGGAACACTTTTCAGCTGCGGTAAAGGATAGGATGGTATTTGGTGGAGACCTTGAAAACGTAGCTGGACACAAGTTGTTTTGGGCAGTCTGCAAGGTTGTCCGTCAGCATGGCTCAGACACAACGGAGAAAAGAGGACGGAGATAGAAGTCAGACTCGGAGCTTGATAATCAATGATAAGCTGATCATTGGCCTCATGAAAACATCTGAGCGTAGTAAGACGTGTTATAGCGGCGTCAACAATTTGTGGCGCAACGTATCCTCAATCAAATAATATCTCTTTAATGGGTGAATCATTGTCACCCTTACTTTTTACAGCAGTTTGTATCAATTTGTCTTAACTGAACCATATTTTTCCACAATAAGGACTAGGATTTTTTAAACTTTTCTTCATAAATGTATATAAAATACCATAAATCTCCGTCACGCAGAAAATGGGATTGTTCACAGCATGCACTTCTCGCTTCTCACCATGTCTTGTTGTTTGTTTTTGTCTTTTTTTTTTCCTTCTTATTTTTCATCCCTTTGGAGAGTTTTCAATGGGGATTTTTTTGTTAGTTAGGTTTTGCTTTGTTGTTGGTTGTTGTTGTTGTTGTTGTTGTTGTTGTTGTTGTTGTTGTTGTTGTTGTTGTTTTGGGTTTTATTTTTCTTCTTTTACATTTTCTTTCGTTTCCTGCCATGTTTCTAGGTACAAGTTACATCAATGAACACTGACAAGGGAGCAACAAGACGGTTTGTTTCAGTCACTTGACACAGTCCTAAGCACACTTCACAGTATTTACTCACTTTTACTTTATTTTTCTGATTCAACGGCCGCCCGAATTCTAGTCCTTCGGCCTGCATATTATACACTCATAACAACAAGAAGCATGGCGAACACATCTTCGGCCAGTAACGTATGGCAATTCTACTCCAACTTGTCTGACAAAATCCCTGACAGCGACTCCGAGCGCGCCGTGGACCCCGCCCTCCAGACGTTCCTGGCCGCCGTCAGCTGGGTGTCCGTCTACTACACCATGTTCCTCATCGTGGTAGGCTGTGTGTGCAACCCTCTGTCCATCCTCGTGTTCAGCCGGCCGGCGTTCCGCGACACGACCACATCCGTATACCTCCGTCTTCTCTCCGTCATGGACCTGGCGGCCATCCTGTGCGGGCTCACACGCCACTTCCAGAGGTCAGCTCTGGACTTCGACGTCCGCCACGGCGTGGTGTCCTGTAAGATCAACCTGTGGCTCGTGCTCATCTTCGTCTACTCCAGCTGCTGGACGTTGGTGGCGGTGACTGCTGAGAGGGTTATCTCCATCATGTGGCCACACCGGGTCAAGGCCTGGTGCTCCAAGGTCACGGCCGTCCTTATCGGAGCGCTCATCATCCTGGCCTCGGCTGCCGTTAACTCCCCGGTCTTCCCCCTCTACGGCCACCTAGAGGTCTTCAACCCGGACACCAACGACACAATGACGCGTACGTGCGTGGTCACTCAGGACCGGGAGTACACACTCAAGCTGTGGTTCTGGGCTGACGCGATCAATTTCGCCTTCGTCCCCTGTACCTTGTTGATCATTTTCAACTTTTTCATCATCAGAGGTGTTATCAAAAGTCGCCAGAGAGTCCAAAAAGTCAGTGTTAAACGGAAGAAAGTGTCCACTATCAACACGTCTACAACTTCAGCGGAGACCACGTCCAGTAAAGACGACGAGTCTACTGTCGGACCACAGAGCAAAACGGGCGCCAACAAGGCTATGTCGAAGCGCGAGACCTCCATCACCATCACACTACTGGCCATCAACATCACGTTCATCGTGTGTAACTTCCCCGTGTGCGCCTACCAGGTGGGGCCACACTACCAGTCCAAGCAGGGCATCGGGCCTCACGGGGACGGTATCGCCACGCTCCTGCTCATCCTCATGTTCACCAACAACGCGCTCAACTTTCTCCTCTATTGCATCACGGGCTCCAGGTTCCGCAGGGAGGTCAAGCTAGTCATTAAAGAGTTGGTCACCTGTGCCTGGTTCCGGCGCTGAGGAGTCTAGGGGGCATGTCGACAGCAAGCTGTTCACGTGTACGAAACCCAAATTTCTTCTTTTTTTTAAAAAAATTACATTTTCTTAATTTGTGGTATCGTTGTAAGTGCTCCAAAAAATATTTTTTTCGAAATTCAAATTCGAAAATAATGACTAAAAAAAGTAGACATACTTCACAATGTAGGTACAAATGAAACAGTTTTTGTTTTTCCTGTCCTGTAAAATGTTGCTTTTGGGCTCAGTGCGTTTTAAGAAACTGCCGATGATACGGCACGACAAAACATGACTCTCTATTCAACATCGCACCCGACCTCATCGTACAAAAATCTCGACAATTGAAAACACCGATTGTCAAGACTTTCTAATGTGGCGAGGGAACTTCCAAAGACTTGATCTGGCACGACATATTTCGCATATATGGATCTTTTCATTTGACTGATAACTTCAAGCTTTTTGTTCTTCGGCAAGTTAGATAAGATAAGATAAGATAAGATATATCTTTATTGTCCGGATCTTGGCACATTTATTGTTGTTTGCAATAGACGTTGTCCCGCGTGTATTTTCAAATACAGTTGAAATTAGATGGTGTAGCTCGCACGCCATGGTGTCAGTTAACAGTAACAATTAAAATTTGTGAGGTTGGATCTGTAAAAGTTGAAAGTCTTTTCCGCGGCATCATTCGATGTCGAGAAAAAACAACGAACAGTGCTCTGAAAACGGTGTTTGTTTTATCATCGTAGGCAAAAATGTAGCTGCTAGAATAGCCCAAGAGACGACGTGTCGACACAATTAATTTATATAATTTTGGGGGCAGACTTCTGACCTTGTCTTTTGAGGCCAACCAGGGCTGAGAGTGATACAACACCCCAGCAGAAAGACTGATCGAGATACTCGATGGAAATATTTTCTTCCTAATCGAGAATAGAACTTGGGTTTTCTGTTTGCACTTGCGAAGCCCCTTAATGCTACTTCACATGCGCCGGTCCTTGCTGGTATTCATCCTCCTAGAGTATAGAAATTATCTAAATTGTGTCGATGGGGGCGTGAGAACACTTACATTTTGCAAATTCTTTTTGAGGATGGAAGGCTGCGCCGGGGAACAGCGACTGCTGACGTCATTTTTCCGGGGAACAGCGACTAGTAATTTACTATATTTCTTTGCTACAGTTTGTCTTGGTGTAATCGCCTACAGTATCGAATACAGCTAGACCCGATATGTTACATCAAAGATAGTACATAACAAGATGGGCCACTCAGCCAAAAAAGTGTCCGCAGGAAGTTCGCTCTTTGCTTCAGATGGCGCTGCAGTCTGTTTTGAAGCTCTCTTTCGTTTTACCAGAAAAAGAATAGGAATAGCACCTCCTTGCGTGCGCAGATCGACTGCTGTTCATCAGCAGTTCGGGTTCGTTCAGTGTGGAGTTTTAGGGGGTTTTTTTATTTTAATGACCTCTCGCCTTTCATTCTAAAGTCAAATTAAACGAAGAAAACAATCATCCTTTCCTCCGGAAGAGGTTTTTTGTCAGCGTACCATTATAAAAAAGCGTTCTTCCGAAATTTATTCAAAAACTTGCTAGTTTCACTTTGATTTTTTAAACTCAAGTAGGGTAACTCTGTTCGCAAAAGGTGCGCTTTTGTGAAGAGGGCGCCACCGAATTTTGAGGACACTTTTTTAATTGGCTCAAAGAGAGAAGTGGCCCCTCTTGTTATGTAGACTCTTTGGTTACATTTCGTCTCGATTTGCAAGTTTAAAAAAAGGTCTAATTGGACAAAAGACTAGCTTTAAAAACGAAGTTTGTTCACTCCCACTGTTATTATATTTTTTGTGGGGGTTTTGGGGTGGGGTGTGTTTCTTGTTGGTTTTTTGTTGTTGTTCTTTTGTTTGGTTTTTGTTCGTTTGTTGTTGGGGTTTTTATCACAAAGTATTTAGTTCCATCTTGATTAAACTTAACTGTTTGCATAATGATGGCCGCAAACATTAGTGGGATCTGTAGATCCGTACATCTCAATAAAGAGAATAACAGTGTCCTTCGACCACGTTGCCATACTGGTACAGTGTACGCAGTGTGCAATGTGAGGGCCTAGCAGCTGTGACGTCAGATGCACAATGCAGAGAGTGACCCCGATACATGACTTCAAGTTCAAAATTGACAATTCAAAGACAAAATTTAGATACATGGCATCAAACCAGGTTCCACGTGAGCTTATCCGAAAATGAAATCAATTTTTAGCTGCGATAATTATTTTTAAAATGTTGCTACTTATTTCGACTCACTCACTTTAATCGCTTCCTCAGAATTACAGAGTTCTATCTGACATTTTTTGGCTTTTTTGAGTTATCTGGACCATGAGGTCAGAAACCAGCGCTTCATCTATTATTTGAGAGCCCTTTGGCTATTTTCTTACATTTTACTTCTTTGAGACCTGTATTAACTTAACAAATGCTCTCTCGATAAACATTTATTGGGTGTTAAATTATAATTGCATCAGTTATGTTTAAAATATGAAACTTTTGTGGTTTTACAGTTAGCCTCCTCACCATGTGAGTTCTGTCTGGAGCAGGAAATGACATGCGGCGTTTTTTCTTACTTATCCAAATTTTATTCATGATGGCTAAAAATGTTTCTTGTTCGCGTGCACACGTGGATTGGGCTGCTTGAAAATGTTCATTTTGGATAAAAGAGAAAGGTATTTGATTTTTTAAAGTTGTGACCGTGTAATTTTAAGGAATAATTGCAGCAAAACCAAAAGATAAAGAAACATGTTCATTTTTAAAACCATCACTTTGCAAAACCACGTTATAATGCACATTCATTTCCAAAAAACATCAGAAACGGATTTTCATGTTTAAATAGAACTTTAAAAGCACTCTAATATCATTCCAAAACGTAAAATGCTGTGTGAATTTTTTATTTAATTTAAAATTGCTATAGTGACACGTGAAAAGAAATGAATTCAAGCTTAAGATTAACCCTCGTTGTGTATGGTGAGGCTTGGCTCCAAGACAGGATTTGCGAAGTGATAGCCAGTACATGAGTTAAGGTCCCATAATATGAACATTTAGGCTTAAACACAAATGAGAAGCAGAAGAAACCCGTCTTTGTAACTCTTGATATGACAACTAAAGATTTATTTACAAGGTATAACATGTCAGCTGTCTTGAAAAGTTGAAAGGTACTTTCCAAGGGAAATAATATAAGAGATAATAGTTAGGCACATTTCTTCACACATTGGATTCTCTCCCTTTTGCACACAAAATGACATCATTAGATCAGCGCACAAGTCGATAGAACTGAACGCAAATATAGAAACACATAGAGGGGGAGATGTCACAATGAACTAAGAGTAAGAGTGTAATCTTGAATCGTAAACAATTGTTATCTGAGTTCCACGAATGTCTGCCTCAACCCTTAAAGTTGTCCGAGACACACAACAACAAAAAATACCCAAAGGGCTGGGTTCGAATCTGTGTGATTATGTTTTCATAAATAGACATAGGTAAGTGAATGCGTTTACTACCCTAATCAACTCTGTTAGGTTGTGTAAGGGGTGGGACCTCCGAATTAAACGTCCATCTCCGATAAGACCAAGCATAAAACAGCCGGAACTCAAAAACGCCTGGCAGAATGTTGGACTGAGACGAAAAGAAACCGAAAAGAATCTCATTGAATAAAGCACGACATGACAAGTTAGCACGTGACAAGTTAGCACACGGCAAATTCGAATAATCCCAGCGTTGTGCTCCCTATTATGCAGTTTCCCTACACAACGAATCAAAGGACGAAAATGTCAAACAACAATCTGCTCAAAACAAAAGATATAGATTGTTGTCTCTAAATATTAGAGTCTCTCGCGCTGAGAAAGCAATATTCAAATCCGGTTTGCTGCTCTTTTCAGAACAAAAGAAGTTTTCTAACATTGGCGTGTCCTACAAATAACCCCTGTAGCAGTGTCCAGACGTTCTTTTTGACGTTCGTGTCTGTTCCTCTGGTTGTGGTTTTGGGCGACACTTGTTCATGCCACTTTCCATAATATTATTTGTCTTTGCTTTTTTTTTCATCACGGCGCTTCATACGAGCATTTGGAAGCGACATCTGCACCATGTGGGCGATTGTAACTGATTGGGATTATCTGATTTTTCTGGGCACCTTTTACCAACGATTGCCTTAAACGGGCATTTGTTACCGGCACGTGCTTATAATAAAATGTTACTGACACGTACCATCCATGGGTGTTTGTCACACTTTTGCATTCTGTGGGAAAGATAAGGATAATAATAATGTTTTAGGTATTTCTGAGAACTATCGAGCAAAAGAATTAATGGCGAACCATGATTGCCGTTGTCTCCCACAGATGTGGCACTTGATGATAATGTGAATCTTGAAGGGCGCACAACTCGCGATCACTAGATCAAATAACTGTTATTCCCCCATTGTCCGTGTGCCTGTATAAGGCAAAAGTGTCAGCAACATTATACTGATCTTAAAAATAGATAACTCTCTCAGTTCGCCTTCGTCTGCACACATTCCCGTAGTCTGGCTGACTGTTGGAGCACCACTGTAGATTTCACAACCAGCTTCATCCGCTCCTCGCGGTTCTAAGCTTTTTGCAGTGAAGCTCCAGTCACAAGGGCCAAAAGATTGTGTGCGGCAATAACAAATGCCCATATAAGGTAAGTGTCGGTAATAATAAATACAGTGGCGTCCAAAAGAATCTTGAAAATGTAATTACCCAATCATCGTGTTAAAGCCTTGCACTACCCACTCATGAAGTATGCCAATATAAAGTTAAATAATTTCTTCATCATCCGATACATTAATATGTCATCCACGTTAAGAGTAGCCCGAGATAGGGTCACTCAAAACTGACCTTTAAAAAATCAAGCTTAACGAAATTGTACGAAATTAAAGGAACGTAAAAATGTCTTCACACGTGTATTGATGAGCATTAATATTGATAAAAAGAACATACATAGCATCAATGAATGTAGATTCTTTTTCCTCTGTAATAGACAATATTTTATTTTAATAGTTTCAAACAAAACGTATAACAGGGCAACCACACAAAAATACATTACCACGCAGAACTTGAATTCAACACTAAATGTGCTTTTTGTTATTTTGCTTAGGAGTCGTTGGTTTTTTGTAGGGCATGAAATCTTTGGACAACGGCTCTATTAAATTTTGGACATAATAATCCCTCATTTCTTCCCAAATGTCACAGAACGTTGCTAACAAATTGTAGTCTGAACTGGGAGCAAAGTCGATTTCCTTCTGCATCAGTATCATGGGACTTCATATACCTGTGTGATTCATATCCGGTCTATTTATTGGTGACCACCCCAACGTTGATATGATTTGGTTTTCCAAAAATTGTCCAGTGGCATTGGTCCCATGAGAAAGTGCTTTGCCATGCATGTGGATGTCTACTTGAATGACACCATGACGAAAATAAAAGTAAGACACGACATTCCAGCACTTGCGCGATGTTGTCTACTAAACCAAACCATCCGATGATTCACACGAGGGTGGTTTTGTTTATTCCACCAGAGACCACCCAAAGGCATGACAGTTTTATGGCTCCTGCTTCTCACTGACAGATGGTTTGTCCAAAATCTAACTAGCAAAGTCCATGTCCAAAAAAGGTTTCGTGCAGTACACGAAACCAATAGCAGCTAAACAAAAACAAAATGAGCACATGTAATATTAAGTCCAGGTTTTGTATGGTATTTGTGACTACTCTGTTGTCTAAACTGTTGGAAATATATTATCAGAAGATGATGTTCATTGCAGAGAAAATAGTTTTCTCTTTTAATTTGATATCCAACGCATATCCATTTCAGCATCACATCAGTACACGGGCGAACACTTTTACGTTTCTTTGATTTCGCACAATTTTGCCAAGCCTGATTTGTTTAACATTAATTTTGAGTGACCATATCTCAGCATCTTGTCACATTGTTGAAATATTAATTAATGTGTCAGAGGATGTGAAATTTATTGACCTGTAAATTGGTAGACTGCATGAGTGGGTCGTGCAAGGCTGTAACACAATGAATGGGTGATTACATTTTCTAGTTTCTTTCGGACGCCAAGTGTAATTATCATTTGATGGTCTTGTCAGTCACAAGAGCCTTTCGATTGCATGTGTCAATATCAAGTGACCATATAAGGTAAGTTCCAGTAACATAATATACCTATCTATGGATGACCCTCTCAGTTGCAAGAGCATGTGGTGTGTGTCTGTCAATAAAGAGTACCCATTATATGACGGCATACCATTGGCCTGTGCGGGTATCAGTCAAAAACAAGTTTCCCTATATGACGTCATACTGTGGGCCTCTGTAGGTATTTGTCAATAACAAGTTCCCATATATGACGTCATACCGTTGGCATCTGTTGGTATCATGACTGGGTGCTGGTGGTGGCGGTAGTGGGGCGGAGGCTGCGGGTATTTATAGGACAAGCCCTCGTGGCACGAACCCTGGGGAGTTGGTGCAGGTCTGTGTGGTGGTTGTGCTGCTGCTGTTGCTGTTGCGACGGGATGGTGATGAGGAAGAGGATGTGGTGGTGGTGCTACCGTTGCTGCTGATGGTGGTGGTGGTGGCGCTGGTGCATGTGGGGCGGTGGCCCCGTGAGGCCAGTGGTGGTGGTGGTAGTGGTGGTGAAGGTAGTTGCCCGGGCTGCCAGTGGAGAAAAGTCCAGGGTGCATCTGGGTGACGGGCTGATGGTAGTGATTGGCTGTCAGGTTGACAGGGGGCGGGGCGCCCTGGTAGCCGGGATGAAGCAGCCAATCAGGATGCATGTAGGGGTGGGCGTAGGCCTCGGCGGGCGGGGCAGACGGCTGGAGAGCTTGGGCTAGGCCGGCGAAGTCAAACTTGTAGGCGTACCTCTTTCCGTGGACCTGAACAAAAATGGTAAAATGATATGCTTTTAACGCCCCAATCAACATTATTAGGTTATTTAAAAGGCCGGACCTCTGAATTCAACGTCCATCCCCGAAAGGACCCAGCCAAATGAGAAATCCGTGTCAAGTGCCTTTACCAAGGACACAACGTCGTACCGAGCTGAGGCTCGGATTCAACCCCAGAACCCGCAGAACCTTACCAAAACTAAAAAATTGAAAACACTTGAAGGCGAGATGTGGGGCATGAGGGCTAGGGGCGGACAGCAAATAATGTGAGCCGACAACGTCAAGCTATGGACTGGCGGAAATGTGACAGAGTGCATGACGGCAGCTGACGACTGTAAACAATGGCGGGTCATTGCGCGTCAACCTCGGAGCCAGAGAAGACACCTCCACGTGTCAAAGTAATACAATAAGACCTGGAGGGCTTAATTGATCGGCTGTTAGTAGAAAATGACCTTGTGTTTTTAATAGCCGCTTACCGTAAAAGAAAATTGTTACTGTAGCTGTTTTAGGACACCATCAACACAATTTTATATTATTTTGGAGGGAAACTGCTTCGACCGTGCCTGTCAGGGCCAACCTGGGCTGAGAGGAATACAGCATCAAAGCACAAAGTCCGACATAATCAATAAAAATTCTCCCCACACGAAAATTGAACTCAGGTCTTCTGTGTGCGACAGCTAGGTACCTATAACCGCTACTCCACAAACGCCGGTAACAACAACTTTAAAAGTCACGGGACTGAGTATGGCTATTGGTATGCAAGGTTGCTTTTGTTCCTTGTTTTGGGAGGGGGGGGGGTTCTTTCTAAACATTATGGCATCTACAGGGGGATCCAAAAAAAAAACTATACAACTTTTTTTGTCTGAATATCTCGCCCCAAAATTGTTCTACAATGCTGTAATTTGGAACAGACACAATTCATTCAAAAGGAATTTGTTCGATATGAAATCCACGAAGAAGAAACATGTTTTGAAAAATGAAAAGGCTAAAAGAAATAAAGCACCCAAAAAAACGCAAGGTTCACCAATGTTTGAAAATCTTGTAAAGGAAGTCGTGAAAAGATTAGTTGGCCTTTTTCTATATTTCCTCTTTGACATTAATTTTCCATCCCTGTGACATACAAAATTTAATTTCTTTTACAGACTTTAAAAAACACAATGATTTCATTCTGAAATTCCTAGAAGCAGTGCTCCACATTCCCTCCTTTAGAATCGACACATTTTTAACGCGTCGATGTTCAGTGGCGCCCTAACACAAGGACCTGCTAAACCATGAGTTTTTAAAGCCACATACACAGTACATGTTCACTAAGAAGTGGCTTCTAGAGACAATAGAGTGAGATGCCCAATAGACAGCATTTTTGGAGTTAACATATCCCGCAGGGGGGAAATGGGCTTTGCACTAAACCAAATGTCATCGAAGAAATGATCCCTCTTTACAAGCCAATCGAGGAATCATGAACACATTGCCATGCTCTGATCCATGTCATCTCAGCTTAGCAAAGATGAATAAGATATGCCATGAGAATGCAGATTATTGATGTGTAGGAAAGTCCTACTTGCAGATCAACCACGGACAGATGTCTCATGGGACTCGGCTACTGAAATCTGCACCCTGGTGACGTTTAAAGGGCTGCACATGGTGCGTGTTCGACCTGAAGTGGTCATTTTTAAAAGAACTTTTTAGTTCTGATTCGCTATAGATCCAAACGGACGGAACTTCTCTACTCATGACGCCAAAGGTCTTGAGGGCACCTAAGCATTCTCTCCATGCCGTGCGCAGAACTTACGAAATGTCAGGGATGGTGAGTTTGTGGAGAGGTAATGTTCAATACAAAAAGCTCTCTGCTCTTTACTAAACGTAACCATGATCTAAGCAGGCAAACAAAATTTGGGGAAAATAATATCTGCTGACTTCTGTTGACTTGTTAGACTGCTGTTGCTTGCCATATGGCGCGTTTGTTGCAACTTTTCGTGGAAGGCCTAATACAAACTTATGCGTCATGCTATGAAAATGGCGACAAGGTTGAAAATGGGTTGTTTTCTTAATGCGATATATAGAGAAAACCATTTAATGGACTTATCTAAAACAAATACCAGACAAATTCCTTTTGGCTTCCAAACGTTAAGTTTAAATCTGAAACACAAAACTTCAGTATGGAGGAAGATATTTACAAAACAAGTTGTAAAGTTTTTTTGGATCACCCTGTATATCGATACTTGGTGTAAGACTGCGCGCTCTTTTGAAAAGTGGCATACGACTTTTTTTAGGAGGGGGGAGGGTGTTCTACGGCGCTCACAACTGCATACGGTCATATGGGCTCGCGGGACACATTAAACATTTTTAGTTTGGTAGGAAATTTTGAATTTTGCCCAGTTTTTTTTGCCCAATTTTGGACTACCAAGGGATCTTTAAAGTGTGGAGCTTGTACACGCGCCTCCGAGATATTTCGCCCTTATCCGAAATGGCTAAAGGTAGATCTTACCTTCCATAAGATCAGGGGTGTAGCTGAAAGACAGCAGTAAGAAGGGGCCAAAGGAATAGCAGTAGAAAGCAGCATAAAGAGCCAGGAGCCCAGAGGAGGGGGCAAAGGAGGTGAGGGGGTGGGGACGAAAAGTGGAGACGAAAGCAGACAACAGAAAATTGTTAGAGAGTAAGAAAGGGTGTGAAAGGGGAACATTTTAGAAACAAAAATTTTTCGTTGCTATCCGGGACCTATTGAATGAGAGGCGAACACATTAACGTCTTGATCACGTGAGCCCCCTTGAAGTAGGACGGAGTCTTCACTGGGTAATTGGTTTGTTTGTTGTTGTTGTTTTGGTAAGTGTTTATGGCGCTTGCAACTGCATAAGGGCATATGAGCGCGCGGGACACATTAAACAATTTTCAGTTGGTTGGACATTTTTAATTTTGCCCGGGTGGCGGCCGAAGCCTGCTCTTATCGATTTTTAGACCACCAAGGGATCTTTAACGTGCGCAGCTTGCACACGGGACCTCCGAGATTTTTCGTCTTGTCCGAGAAGACTAGATCTAGGTGTAGATCTTTCCTACCACAAGATCAGGTGTGTGGCTGAAAGACAGCAGTAAGAAGAATCCAAGGAGTACCGGTAGCAGTAGAAATACTGCAGAAAGAGTCAGGAGCCCAGTGGAAGGGGCAAAGCTGGTGTCGAGGGGATGGGGACAGAAAGAGGAGACGAAAGCAGAAGACAGACCATTGCTAGAGAGCAGGAAAGGGGGTGAAAGGATACAACTTTAGAAAAGAAAATTTTTCCGCTGCTACCCGGATTCGAAATAGGGGGCCTCTCTAGGCCACGAGAGCCACGTAATTGGTTTGAACTAAAAGGCTTACTTTTGAGTACGGTAATGAAAAACAATAAATGTCCCACATGGAGAAATGGCACGGCATTACATACATACACTTGTTGTACAGACCATCGAGCCAGCTGGAGAGTGTGGATATGCTAATTTTTTTTTTAAGCTGATATTATTATTATTATTATTATTATTATTATTATTATTATTATTATTATTATTATTATTATTATTATTATTATTATCATTATTATTATTT